TTGTTACGTCCTGGCGACTCCACGATTCCTTTCTTCCGCGACGTTGCGGTAACGATCGTCAGTTGGTGATAAGAACGAACCGTTCAATAAACAAAGCATCTTGTGCCATACGTTTCTTTTAAATACTGTCATTTGTCAGTAACTACATCCACGAGTATCCGTGGGAAAGACGCAAGGAAATCGGTGATGGAAACCATGCCGGTCTCCTCGGGATAAATGAAAAATAATATCTACCCCTTGCAGTAGAATTTCCGGCGGAAGAACAACGAGATAACAAGAACTTTTAACGAAATGTTTAATAAACTCAGCTGCATTAATACTGATAATAATTTTCTAACGGACAAGTAATAAACACAGCTGCATCAACGTTGACAAAAATAATTATAAGGAAGTAAGACCCTTTTCTAATCAGATCATGTGCGCGAGGGTCCCCCGGAAAGGCTAATGTTTAAGGAACTTTTGAACTAATATTGAACTCACCAACCGACGATCAGCACGGGTAAAAATATGAAAATAGAAGACACCCCCTACCGAATGAGGACATTGGCACGATTATAATTCGTTAAAATCTTGAAGAATCCCTACTTTTGCATAATTTCAATTCGTTGAGGTTTTTGGAACATCCCCACTCTTAAAATTAGAATACACTCCCACAAGAGGATTATAAAAAGAGAGCTCGTAAGACATTCAAGAGATACATTTTTTTACATTTCACAACGTCACACTTATTCTCCAGTCTTTAGTCTAACGCAGTCTTATTCTGTGCTTTTGCACCGTAATTCGCGAGTTAGTTACTTGTGCAACCAATGTCCTCACTTGTCATCATCTCCAGAGCAACCACGAGTTGAACATCGGTCCACTGACATGAGACACAGAGCGAAACACCGCACAAATTCGTCACTCCTCCGCTTCTGAATCACTATTAAAAAAGTAAGTCTAATTGAATAATTTTTCCTTTCCAATTCATAACTACAATTCATAACCGCAGAATGTTTCATACTTTCAAAATCATTAATTCATTTCGGCAATAAGTCTTAGAAAGTTTAATCTTAATCTAACACATATGCGAGCGACTAATTTTATACTTTCGACCAATCTTGACATACACATTTATTGATTTATATATATTGATTTTGATTTTATTTTTCTTATCCTATAATTAAATATACTTTTATATTGTATTAACCAGTCAGAACCCTAATGTTAACGATAAAACATTTGCCTCGCCACTCTGACTGATGTCCTCCATATTAATGTAACACCCGCGAACTAAAACACGCACTCTCACTCACACAAATTGTTTTATTTTCTTTTTCTAACAGATATTTT